TACATAATAGGTTTGATGATGGAAACACCTGGTATGTTCAGAGTCACTGAGCCATTACTGGTTTATCATTAAAAGGAAGGCTGGTATGGATGGTACTAAAAGAGCGAGCATGAATCCTGGTTGTGTAACAAAACATGTGTCAGAGAGCTCACAAATAACACAAGTTATATTTTAGTCTCCTGGGAGAGGTAAACTTTGGGGATCTGAATAATGCAAAGATGCTCACTGGTGTTTTTGGGTCACTGGCTTGGAACCACAGTGGCCAGGAGCTCATAGAGGCTTGCTGATTTATCCCACATGATAGCTCTAGGCAGGAGGAGTGGAACTGGACCTGGACCACATTTGGTGGCTGAGGCTTACAGTCTCCACACAATAGCCCTCCAACTTGAGGAAATGCAACAGAAGTGACATACAAATGTAATGTGACATATATGAATAGGAATATTACTTTGGCAGTGTTCTCCTGTATTATATTCTTAATGGCAACACTATAAATCATCTGCTCTGATATGTTTTATCATCTGTAAGTACATGATAGTGGCAGGATTGTTTTAAAATTAAATTTATCACGGTAATTTCAAACCTCAGTGCTGTAATATCGACTTTTTATTACATAATCCTTTGCCTTCGGGAAACTAGTAGTGAAGATGCTAAAGCTGCCATCAACAACTGCTGTTTTAAAACATTCTTTCTTTGCTAACATGATTCTATTGTATGCTGGCTGAGAAAAGAAGAATATAGATGAGTACAGCTTGCATATTGGCCTCAGAATCACAAATTGTTTTTTAAGTGTTACACTCACACAGATTTAATTTCTAAATAGAGCAACATAATTTTTGTTAGCATAGATTCCATTCCAATAGTAACATAATTGCCATGTCATTTATAATGATAATACTAGCATTAGCAGGGTTGCCTTGCTGATAAGTACTGCATTTGCAAATACTGCCTCCTGTACTCCAAGCAGATCCTAGGGAAGAGAAGTATTGTCTTCTCCATTTTACAGCTGGGGAAACTGAGGCACAAAGTGGCTTGATCAAAGACACCCAAAGGTGTTTTAGAGCTGGGGAGAGAATTCAGCTGCAGCCATGATCCCAGGAGGAAGTCTGCCCCAACATGCAAAACCTGTGCTGTGCAGAGCACCTGCATCCATGCAGGGGGTCTGGCCAGGGGACTGGGAAGACCACACTGTAGTGAGATGGTTTGAGTCCCTTGAAGAAGGCTTACAGTCTTTCTGAGTGCTGCTGTTGTCTTCGGATGCCTATGCAGTGCTTTCCACAGAAAGCTGTCCCTGTCCTCTTTGACATCCCAACCTCCACTGTATTTGTTCAAACAACTTGAGGTCAAATAAGGAAAGAATATACCATTTGCTTTCCATAGAGTTCACTGTTTTCCCCTGGATGCTTTGCAAGAGTTTTCTTTAGCCCTGTTCTGACTTCCTCCTGTAGCGGTATGAACAAGCAAATGAGCCAGCACTGTTCTCATCTCAGTATAAGCAGCCTGACAGTGGCCACACAACGGCAGCACATCAGATGGTGGTGTCTGAAGTGTGACCTGATGCTGCAAAACCACAGTTATGTCCTTGGCCATATTATTATTATGGTCTTTGTTCTCAAGGGCCTGAAGCAAACCCTACAGAAATAAACAGTGCCTGTGTTTGGATTTTAGGGTATTTTTTTGAACAAAATGTTGCAAATCAGCTGCTAAAAATATGTCTGTAATTTCTTAAGAAAACCCATTTCCTGTGAAATCAACTAGGATTGTACCCTGCCTGGGCCACCTTCTCCTCCTGCAGTAACCTAGCACTTCTGTACAAGTATAGCCGTATCTCCCATGTCTTTTCTCACCTAAAATATACCCAGAAAGACTGCTAGTCTTCTCCACTTTGTAGGAGGACTAATTAGGAAACATCTTCATTATGCTGGCAGAACCAGCCTATCCCCAAAACATCCACCTTTGCTTTGAACAGTAAAAAGGAGAAGAGGGTAGGGCTAAACCAGTGCGATGCAGGAGCTTTGCACATTCTGAGGAGCAACTGCAGCTTGTTTTATCTCCGCCTGATCCTAAGTTTTCTGCAGAGCCTGATTTTTGATAGAGTGCTTAAACACTATTTTTGATCAGGCCTGGGAAGGCAGCAGATCTGTTCTCAGCACACACCATATTTGAACACCGTTTTGATATAAATATTTGGATTTTGTTTTAAACTGCTAAAATTCTGTTTATTTATAAATAGATCTATCTACAGATCAATTTATAAATTAATATTACCATTTGAGTATAAATAAATCATGGAAGTTTTCACAAAACTTGGTGATTCTTCTTCTGTTTGCAAAATGCTCTTTTTTCTAGTGTTTTAGTGTATCATTGACAAACGGCTTACTCTTTTTTTTTTGCAAATCAAATGTGATATGTCTTAATGTATTTTAAGGTGTCCATAAATGTTTTGGCACAACAGAGCTTTTCCTTTATCTCTTTGTCCTCACAAGAACCAGTTGTAGATTTTTCATTAACAAATTCTAAAACACACAATGCTTTGCTTAATTACAGAGTCACTTTTTTTCCAGTTTCCTCATCAGAAGATAGATGCAACTACCTGTGTAACATGCAGATTGAATTCTGGGTATTTCAGTCTACTCTGCTGTTTAAGGACTATTGTTGTGAGCTCCTGAGTGGTTTTGTTGCATTAATTTTTCATTAACATTTACAGCAGTAAAAACTGTCAGCTAGTTTACTGCTAATAAGTAATGATCATGGAAGGCCAGATTAAAAGCTGGTTTGTAATTTAAAAAGACATGCCTCCAGCCAATTCCTTCTTTTCCACTACTTGCAATATTCACAACGTCAGTTTTGGATTTGTATTTTCAGATGCCTTAGGCCTCCTCTTTATTATCTACATTGTCCAAGTTGGGGTAGAGACAGCAAGAGGCAGGCAAAGACAGCAGAAGCAGGGACTACTTTTTTTTATTATAAGGGCTTTTTTCACTGTATGTACATGAAACAGCTTTAAACAAATTATGCCTCTGCTCTTCACCGGTAGGGAGAGAGTTAATAATCTCTCAATGTTTTCCTGCCCTGTATTCTGCTGTTATCAGTGCTATGATCTAAGTATTTTAGCTCTTTGGCATTTCTATAACAATTACAGATGCACATACAATGTATTCCACCTGAAGCGGCATTCTTCAGTGTGAAACATGATATCCATTGATAACCTAGCTAGCTATATGAACCCAAACTTTGGTGGTTTTTTTTTGTTTGTTTTGGTTTTTTTTTAGCTAAAGTAAGTTTTTCTTGTATGCTTTTGTTCCCTGAGAGAAACAAGAAACAAAATTATCTGTCTTTTAAATATCGAGCCCCACACTTCCTGACTGAGCCGGTATGAACCACTGCTACTCTGCACACATTCTTTCCTCTCTTTGATAAAAATATTCAAAGGAATTAGCCACAGTGTAGCGACACTTTGCTTTCCCATGGACCTTATCTCTCACCTTTTGGGGTAGCAAGCTGCTCTCCACAAGAAGGTAAGCTAATGACAGAGCAGAGCGTATGTGTGATGCATGACGGAGAAGCATTGCAACCACTTCTGCAGATGTAGAAGACATCTGCTCCTGCAGCCCTGGTCATTTCTGATACTGTGGACTCATTTTCCTCCCTGACATCAAAGTACCTTGCTGATGTCCACTATAGAAGGAGGCTGAAAACCTTTTGTTTTTCTTTTTTCTGCATTAGCAAGGATTTTCTTCTGCTGCTTTTTTGGTTTGGCTATTTTCTCAGCAAAATATATCCTTTCTGCAACAATACTGCTCTTGCAATGCCAAGTGCTATAGTCCAGCTATTGTTAGACTACAGAAATCATCAAAAAGCAGCTTTAGCTCTTGCCTTTGCTCTGTAACTGAGGCTCTCCTTCCACAAGAGCAGCCAAGGTCTCCTCATTCTGCTGAAGACTTCTGTTATCAAGTCAACACTCCATGTTGTTACCATGTTACCCCCACCTGTGCTGCCAGACCAGTGGAAGCTGCTGCCTGTCGCATACGGGGAGATGGTTGCTCTTAATAGAGCCTATAAAGGACCATTTCTCCAGTTATATTTCTGCATGAGTCTTTAAATTGACTTTTTAATTTTTTTTTTCTTTTTGGTCAAATGATGTCGTATTTTGTTTTGTTTTCACAAAATAACTTACAAAATGAACTCTGTTTTGCCATATTTGAACACTGTTTTGATATAACTATTTGGATTTTGTTTTAAACTCCTAAAACTATGTTTAGTTATAAATAGATTGATCTACAGATCAATTTATAAATTAATATTACCATTTGAGTATAAATAAATAGAAACCCGGTATTACTCAGCTTCAACTTTTTCATTATTTTTAAAATGGAACCTAAAATTGGTGCAAATCATCAGCTATTGACAAAGGGAACCTTCTTTTAATCTGTTTCCCTCTGAGGTAATAACCCAGGAGTTGTCTTCTGGTCTAACTTTTAAGTCTTCACATCCACATTTTTGTCCTGACAGCATGTGGCTGCTTTTATATATTATAAATACATACAGCAGAAATGAGCGCTTTCAATTCTCATGTTTTGTTTTGCTGTTGTGTTTGTTTTAGTTTGTTTCCCTAAGGATTAAAGATAATAGGGATAATAGGTATTTTCCTTAAAGGCCAGTTGCTGGAATCGGCAGAGTCCATGAGACTCTTAGTGTTTGTTTAAAAAGTAAATTACAAACTCCCTTGGTTACTAAGAAAGCTTAAAAACAGAAAGAGAAGGCACCCCACAGCTTTAGAAAACAGAAAGCAAAGAACTGAAAATTTGCCTAGACAAACCAGAAACTGTAACGACTGTTGTGTTTACCTCGGGTGGGGACATTATTAATATATCACTGCATTATTAATGTGTGATGCAAGTGACTAAGCATGAAAAAAGCTCAGCCCATGAAGTTGACAGAAGAAGAGAGAGTTTGCTGGTTGGAAGTGGCATATTTCAGAATCAAGTGTTCCACTCTCTTTCTTATGACTTCCCTTTTTCTTTTTTTGCCCCTGTTAACCATAACAAAATCTGTCCTTGTGAAGGAGAAGAAAGTGACATTTTTTTTTTAATTTAAATTAACTAAAAGGCCCAGGCTGAAAACTTGATTATAGATTCTGTATGCTTAAGGGGCCTTAACAGTGTGCTTTCACCCAGGTGGAATCAGAGTACAAAGAGGAAGAAACCTTTGTTTCATACTGCCTCGCTAATCTCAGCAGTATATCGTTCATTATTCTGCACAGGATTAAAGGTAAGCTCTGTACTGCTGCCTTTGGGACTCAGCAGGGCTGGTCTCCTTTGCAGAAATGGGGTTAAATACTTCTTGATGTGTGGCAGGAAGGTTCTGGAGAGAAGACAGCTGGGTTTAAATTACTCGGCAGAGCCTTCTATGTTCTAGCTTTTGTCTAATAAAGTACTCTGTAGCTCAGCTCCAAAATAAGAGGAATTTGTTAATCATAAATGAAATCTAAAAAGCATTTTATTTGAAAGAGGGAATGGTATCTTCAAATTACTGGTCTAGTCAAAATAAAAAAGGTGGAAAAAACAGTTTGTGTGTATGAAATTTTTAATATCATTACAAACATACACAAATAGGTTCCAGGACACTCAGCTAAAGATAACCAAGCTATTTTTAATTCCCTCCATTTTGGAGATCAAGCTAAAAAAGCATCTGTAAATTCAATTGCTATGTTCTCTATTCTAAACATTGTCTCCTGTTAAATGACAGATATGTTACACGGTTTCCATTGAAAGAAGGTTGGTTGTTTATTCATGTTCTTCTCACTGTTGGTAAAGTTCAGATTTAGTGTTTGTTCTTAAAACAGCAAATACAGCGTGTAAGTTCAGATTTTCAGTCATATGTTACTGATTGAGGTGTTGGTAGCTGCCACTCACAAACCTATTGCGAAGCTTATGAATTTCGTAGGACAAAAATCTGTTGGGAGATGCAAAAGGCTTCTTATATGTAGTTTTTAATATGATAAGTGAAATAATATGACTCTGTCTATATGTGAACGCATGTATTTGCGAAAGAGCCTGTCATGTGGTGGCTGGTACCTGCTTGAATGTCTGAAAAATGGTCCTTTGCCAACAGAGGCTCTTCTGAAGCTGCAAAGTTAAATTTGCTCTACACGGTACTCAGGAGACCATTACTGCAGACCACGGGCCTCAGCAAATTTGCACAGGTTGCAGCACCGTGTCTTCTCCATCTGCAGGCGCCTGAGCAGGGTACCCCGCAGAGTACACAGCTACTCCGATTTGTTCTGCAAGCTAGAAGGCAGTCTGAGAGACCAGAAAACTGCACCAGCCTATACTAAATATCTAATTTATTCAGTATTTTAGTCATTAGTAGATATATTGTCTAAATTGTCTCCCCCCTCCTCCCCTCGTTAACAAATACGTTAATAAGATTGGGTTTCCATGCTGGGGTCTGTGTACCTCACCCAATACTAACTCCTACCTTGATCTGTTGACGCACAGGATCTCTAACACTGTATATTAAAAAGATGCTTATCATAAAAAGTAGAACAGAAGGTTTTGACCCTTTAATGTGACTCATTCAGTTATGACTGCAGTGCATAAAGATAACAGCAGTTGCAATAACGATTTGCATTCTATACAACTACACTGATCCTAGAGATACACCAGATGGATGCTCTTCCAAGGCACAGGCATCTGCAATGCATATCCCAGAAGAGTATTTCTCATTCTACCCCTATTCAGAAATTACCACTCAAGTACATCATTAATTTTTCAACCGTATTTTGATTTTAGTGAGAATTTGACAGGTGTTTTTACATGATTACATGCTTATTTGTATTAAGACCAGTGCTCTCTCTCCATGCCTAGTGCTTTGATTAGCTAGAGGGCTTTTCTAAACTTTTCTGATGTAGCATGTGTTGGATTAAAGCTGATCTTTGCATGAGTGAGCACAGATGGAAGGAACTTCTCCTCCCTTCCTGTGTGCCCTGAAGGAAGGCCTTAGACAACAATAAATCCCTGCAATCAGCCATGTATAAAGTGGCTATATAAAGCCATAAGGAGAAAGTCCTGGGTTATGTCTGTTTAGTGGCCCCAGGAGAGCTTCTACCACAGTAGTAAAGTCAATGTTAAGAAGACTTCTGCAGAACCAGAGGAAAATGGGTAATGACCAGCGACACAGCTCATTGCATCAGTGCTCGGTGTATGTTCTTGTCAGTGCAGCACACCATAAGATCCCTCCAGGGCCCCCTGCGATGAGTTCAGAGCAATGGTTAACTGCTCCAGTTTGGCCTTGCTCATTGCCGTGCCCAGCCTGACTTAAGTTACCCTTCTTTGTGCCTCTCAGAGCTTACAAGTGTGAGACTGGGAGGCTAAAGCAGATGATAGCAGAGCACTCTTCTCTCCTAAACTCACCCTGGGTGCTACTCTGTAGTGGGAAAGAATTTAAAGGCTGAAAGGTAACAAGGGGGAAGAGCTGGACTTTTGGTGAGCTGCAACTCACTCCATCCAGAACTATTGTCAAATGCTGTCTTTTCCCCCAGTGCTTCCCACTTGCAATCATACTGGTTTTAGGGGAGATTTCATTAGCTAAGAAAGCACAGGAGAAAAGTTTTCCTGGTTCCCTACACAGCCTCGTGCAGTTTACCTGTTCTGCTGAGGCCTTGCTAACATTAAATTGCTCACTGTTTATAGCTGCTGGCATTTTATCTCTGTGGATGCAGTGGCTGTAGTATTTTACATTTCATCTGAAGGTGTGACCGCAGGCCCTTTAAATAACTGGTGTTCTGTGCAGCGAGCAAAACTGGCGCAAGACACTGAATAAGTAGTTAGTATGTGCATAAAAAAACACACCTTGACACTTAGTTCAGATTTCTCACGTCTTTTTAAGTTTCTATTGATCATCCCAAGTCACAGAGCGAAGTTTCTGACCAACTGAAACTTAAAAAAAAAGAATTCTGACAAGTGAAAAGTTTTTTTCTGGCATAACTTGCTTTGCTATGAGGAAATACCATTCCTAAGTCAGGATACTAGCATAAAACCTGGAAGCCATATTCTGCCCAAGGCATTCTACTGCTATGAGATCTCTGGCAAACCTCCTCACTCTCTGGGCCTCATGCCTTTGAAAATGTGAAATATACTTTCCTATTTTTTTTTTTATTGTTTTGACATCTAGAAATTAAGATTAGTGCAGAAATTGGAAAGGACAGTGCTGTAATTTGTGTATAAGGACAGAGAGCAGTAACTCCTCAGAAATTGTTTTAAACATACTGCTTGCAAATCAGAAGGGACAGGGGGATTGAACTGAGTAGCTGAATGTTCTAGGATTCAGACAAACATTGCAGCAGGCAACAGGCCAGGCACTTAAAAGAGCAACCTCCCTTCCTTCATGTCAGCTTTTCTGCTAGCAACTCAAGTAGTTTATCTAAATCAATATTTACTTTAAATATTATGATTAAGTGACAATAATTTACCAAGATTAAAATGAAGCTGTGATAAGAACGGAGCCAAACATACATTAGAACACTTTTAACAAGAAATACACTTTGCAAGGAGGGTGGACCCCACTATGCTGAGATGTGCTGAGGGTGTCAGACCTGTCACACCATATGGTTGTGTTTGAAGGTGGGTCCCCATAAAGGTCGTGATTTAGGTTGTGCTGCTATGACTGGAAAATATTCTCAGAGGTCAGCTTTGTGCTACAAAGGCCCTTTGAGACACTAAAGATGATCCTAAAAACCCAATCAAGGCTTTCCAGCATAGCTGAAGCTATTGCTGTGAGGTGCTGGGATGATACAGGACTGTTCCACTAGTGACAACAATCACTGGAAGGGGCATCCTTTCCCTCCTCCCTCCAGACAGCAGCAATTGGTGCCATCTCAACAGTGGAACAGGGCAGCTGGGCAATGGCTGATGGGCCACCACGAGCAACCTCAAGTTAAGGACTAGCCTTATTACTATGTCTTGTACATAAGCAAATTTGTGTTCTTTGACAAGAGAGGAACTTTACAAAACAAATGAGTTTTTTAATAAAACATAAAAAAAATAAAGCAAGATGTCCTCTGCATTCACTGGCCCCTAGGATTCCAGCAGCCAAGCAGTTCACGTGGATGTGTGTGCAAATACCCTATTATACATCCATCCAAGAAGCAGTACACAGCTCTCCCGAGGTAATACCACTCCACTTACAGGAACTGTCTTCAGCTAGTCTTAAATGATCACAGACTTCTCTCCCACAGGTTGGCACTTGCTTTCTGATATGAAACAGGAATGACACCTAGTCCTGAGAAGGTGGCACGCAATTTCATTTGATGACCAATGTAAAATCTTCTTCAGAGTCCTGCAGGTGAAAAGTTCATAAAAGAAAAGCTTGAAAGTGAAGTTTTCTCTACAAAACTTCTGCTTCTAGGTTTTGTAATGAGAAAATCTACCTGAGTTACCGTGCATCCCGCTAAGGAGTGTAAATACTATGATGGTGCTAGATAACCTGTCAGTAAGAGTCTCTAAAATAGTTGTTCCCCCTGCCTAACGACTCTTTAACATTTCTTGCAACTGATGGGATAAAGCTATTCCACCTCTATCTTCTACATAAAAGCTGTATTTTCTTTACAGCTCCTGTGAGGAAGTGGCACCAGTTTTGTGATCATAATTTATTATATCCATGAGGCCACATAGCAATAGCTGTGACTCTGGTTCACGCCTTGCTTTATTCTTCAGGGGAATTAATCAAAACTGCATTACCAAATATGACAATAAGGCAAGGTTGAAGTTTCCAAGGCTGTATTTAGGAAAGTGTCAGTGCCAACACTATAAATTCAATTTTTTGAGGGATTTGTAATTGAAATGTAAAAATATACTCCCAGCTGAAAGACTCTCTTTTCAGATCTTAAAATACGAACTGTGATTATATTTTTTAACAATTCAAGGACCCTTTTAAAATTATAAAAAGAAAGTTAAACTGGGAAAAAAATGAAAAAAGGAAGGAAGATTTTATTCTAGTGGCTAACCTTCCTTTTAAACACACAGGCTTTGCTGGGCCAGATTCAACTCAGAGAACTGATTTTCCCACACCTCTCCTCAGTACATGTATACAGGGTTTTTTTTTGCTGAGGACTGAACCCATCACCTGATAATTATCTGTGACTGTGAAGTCCATAGTCTTTACAGGGAATTCTGTTGTCTGTGTGCTTTTGAGGTTTGACATCTGGATGACAGAGCTGCTGATTCTGACAGTAACTGGAACCTTCAGTTGTGATTGCGAGAGTGTCTGAG